ACGAACTACGCTCATATTTATAATTCCAAACAATCAGTAAGCGACAGGTGCTAGGAAACGCTGTTTTGTACTCATTTACTGACGAGTCGGCCGCGGTGCGGCTAACTGAATGCGCTGCTTCTCTGCCGCTCACTGCACAGAACAGACGCCGAGAGAGGCGACACTTCTCCGGGAAAGTCAGACCTCGCGTTCGCGGGACAGCACTGGCGAAATCTTCCAACTGAACCATAGCTAAGGTTTATCCAAAAAAGTCGCTAGGTTTGTCAGTATGAATATTCTATGGAAGAAAGCCGCTAAAAGGGTCTGAAAGTTGCTAAATCTAGTGCTAAAGTTCCGAACGTTGTTTAAGTGAAATATACCGGTATTGCAGTATTTTCAAAATTCATATCATAACAAAAATAAAAACCGGTATTCGGTATGAACCGGTATACCGCCCAGCACTATGTTTGAGTAATTTAAGGATCCGTATTTTCTTCCCTTCATCTGCTGAACACATTACAGCTGTGACCAACACCAAAGAGCCACATGAAGATCCTCCGAATGCAGTAATGCACTGCCAGATAACAAACCGCATCACATGACTTCAGATAAACCACACCTGAACACAGAACAAGCTGTGATTGGTCGCTTCTCGCGTCACTCAGACAGTCTCTTCCTGTTTAAGTGGGCGGTTCTTCACCAGAATTAAATGCATTGTGGATCAGACAATAAAAACTGATAATGTAGGGCTCAACAATAAAGGTGAACATTACAAACAACTCGATCTTTGTTTTGTCATTATTTGCCACAAAAACCGTTTATGAATTAAATTTCTTGGAATTTCTGAAGATACATTCCAGCTGTTATTGCAAATGTTCTTTCTAAAGAAATCATTTCTGAAAAGCATAATAATTATTTTTTTATTATTTTAAAAATATGTATAATAAATAATTACTCTATAACTACAGTTGCAATGCAAAATGATCATTACAATGCAAAACTACACATTATAAATAAATAAATATAAAATAAGTAAAAAAAAAAAACATTCTAAAATGTAAATCCAACATTATATAACAACAGGTAAATATAAAATATATAAACCATAAATATTAAATTTTAAGTTCATAATATTCAATATATAATATTTAAAATATTTTAACGCATTTAACGCACTGGCCCTGTACATCATCTGTTGACAAATATGATGCAGGGCAACTCCATAAATGCAGTTATGCCCTAAAATTCAAGATATTGGGGCAAAAATGCTCCTGTATGAGTTTTTGTCTCATATATCATATGATAATCGATATAACACCAGCAGCGAGAGCAATATCACACAAGCGCTGTTTGTCCCGAATGCAAATGTGATTTAATACAACAGTTCAGTAAATAAGAAGTTAATATTGTGTTATATTTTAAACACAATATTGTCAGTTTTTGCTGTTTTGCCAACAAAAATGTTACCTATAAAGCCACAGCAGAATTGTTGTGTCTCCGAGCAACAGAGGTGTTTAGTTTCTGAATGAATCTGCATTTTGAACGAATCGTGTGAATCAATGATTCATAGATCCAATCATAAAGTGAGCCATTTACTGAATTCCTGAATGAATCTGCGTTTTGAACGAATCGTGTGAATCAATGATTCATAGATCCAATCATAACGTGAGCCATTTACTGAATTCCTGAATGAATC